TATGAGCATACTGTGCATACCAACTGCCAGGCTAGTATTGGAAGGATTCCGATTGCGCATAGCCTGAACATGACCGTCTGGTCGGTATCAACACAGCGATCAGACCACATTTCTGCTGCAGTCTGTGTACTTGACAGCAACCGGAGAGGAGGGCACAGAGCCGGCGGAGAGCGTGGAGGCTGCTCTTGGCTGCGCGTCCTTGCTGGCCAGATTGCTCATATAAGTACTGCCCGCCCTCGCGCTCCAGTGTCGAGCTCTTGTCCAGCATACAAGACCCTCCAGTATCCACAAGCCAATCGCCAAAATGAAGTTCACCCTCCTCTCCATCGTCGCGATGTCGACGCTGGCCCTCGCATCCCCGGTCGCCGTGGCGGACGCCGCAACAGAGGTATGAGCAGAAGAATTGCCTCAGTACACGGCGCCGTAGTTGTGATGCTGACACAGTCATACAGGCTCGCCTCACAGCCCTCGTTGCCGAGCGCAATGCCAACATCGTCTTCGACGAAGCCTTGAGCCCCAAAAGCCCATTCGTGAGTAAAACCATGAGCCCATTGTGAAACAGAGTTTCTGATGGGTGCGCCAGCTTGAAAAGAGAGCCAACCAGTGCGTTGCTACTGCATGCACGATCGCGAGCAACTCTTGCGGAAGAGTCCAGGGTTGCAAGAAGGTGTGCGACCAGCCCAACCCGAACAATCTTGGCAACTGCATCAAGAAGTGAGGATGAGAGGGACTTGCATATGAAGCAGCTTTCGGACACGGCCGAGCGCAGTGAGGAAACATATGGAAAATATACAATGTGCTCTTCACAGATTTCCTGTGCCTCACTCGATCCTGCCACCTGAAGATGTAGCTTTTCTCTACTGCCTCGACGCGCTTCGCGACTGTGTAGAGACATATCGGCCACATATCCCGCGATGAGGCCTATCTAAGGTACCCAGTATCACTAGCAACCTCTATGAGCGATGCTACCTCCGCTCTCTCATGAACGTCTGCAGGTTTCTATTGCAGCTGTCAAGCGCACCGCAACAGTGATCAGTCAGTGGTAATTGCCTTTGAAAGAGAAATCCACACGGAGAGACCGTTGCCAACAGTTTATGTTCATCTCTCATCGGCGGTCTCATAAGACGATCAATGATGTAGTGCCGTCGATGTTGCCGTAGTATGCGGGACGGTCAGACTTCTGAGAAGTCTAAAAACATGCGACTGGGAACCCTTAGCGTTGACCATGAGAGCACAGCGGTTTCGGACACATCCTTCACAGCCAAGCTACACCAAGCTTTTCTCTTGAAAGAGCTTATTTGTGCTTGTCTCGCTAGCTGCAGGATGATGGCGCGGCCTTGCGATTCGAAAGACCCGAAATGCTGAACGTTTTTCTGTAGTCGACCTATCTTCACGGGCGTGAGATGCACGTGGTGGCGTTTTGTGGAGAGGACATGGCGCTCGGACTACGTCAGCACTGTGTCGATCCCAAAAAGGTAATCTTCCTAATCTGCAGAGATGCTTCATATCTCACATTTCATCGTCGTTATTTTCGACCTGTTCCTTAAAATTACGATTGAGTAGCGTATACTTCTCGTAACGACGACAGTCTTTCAACAATATCTCCCGGAGTATCCGACAATGGACGTGAACGAAAAGCACTCCGGTGAGCAGCTCACTCCAGAGGAGCTCATCGACCAGCAAGGAACTGTCGCATCGACCAACAAGTCGCAATGGGAGCGCCTTTGGCCAGTCATCGCGTGTGGAGCTGGTCTATTCAGTGATGGCTACCTCAATGGCGTTATCGGCAGCGTCAACACCATGCTTGCCATGATCTACAAGAAGGAGTATACCTCCAGTCCGGCACAGGCCAATGTCTCCTCGATCGCTTTCGCTGGCACGGTCGTCGGACAGTTGTTCTTCGGCTGGACAAGCGATCACTTCAGTCGCAAGTGGTCACTCCTTGTGAGCACGATCATTCTGATTGTGTTCGCTGCTCTGGGTGCTGGCTCATATGGTGCTGGTGGCAGTGTCAGTGGCTTGCTTGCCGCGTTGACAGCGTACCGATTCTTTCTGGGCATTGGAATTGGTGGCGAATATCCCGCTGGCTCAGTGGGCTGCGCCGAAAGTACTGGCGAATTGAAGGCCGGGACCCGCAATCGCTGGTTCGCTCTCTTTACGAACGTTCAGATCGACTTTGGTTTCGTAGTGGCAGCATTTGTGCCCATGATCGTCGTACTGGCTACCGGAGAGAATCATTTGCGCGCAGCATGGCGGATCTGCCTCGGACTCGGCGTTATCCCTCCACTCTCGCTCTTGTATCTGCGGATTAAGCTGCAAGAACCGGAACCCTTCAAGCGCAACAGTATGTCGCGGGTCAGGACTCCCTGGTTGCTGGTCATCAAGTTCTACTGGTTCCGCCTCGCGGTCGTCAGTGCAATTTGGTTCATGTACGACTTCTCATCGTACTCTTTCGGCATCTTCTCCTCTGCACTGCTCACCAATCTGCTCGGTGACAATTCAGAGCTGTGGGTGACTTTTGGGTGGAACACTCTCTTGAACTTCTTCTACATGCCCGGCTGCATCCCAGGTGCTTGGCTGAGCGACTACTTGGGACCTCGCAAGACGCTGGGCTACGTCGTTGCAATCCAGGGTCTCTTCGGATTTCTCTTCGCCGGTGTCTATGGGTACATTAATCAGCCCCGCTATGTTGGAGGTAAGTGATGTTTCCGGGAGAAGCGTTGCTTGACTGAGCACTCGATGCTGACACTTGTGTAGCCTTTGTGGTGATGTATGGGGTAAGTTGTTTGGTGGCGGCGCATTGTTGTCTTTACCTTCTACGTTGTACTGACGCTTGGGTCCAGATCTTTATTGCATTAGGCGAAGCAGGCCCTGGAAATTGCATCGGTAACGCTCGCAGGATCATATTGTTGGCTAGGGGTATTTCCTGACCGTGCACTGTAGGTATGATCGCATCCAAGACTTCCGCAACCGCCGTCCGCGGCCAGTACTACGGCATCGCAGCAGCCATTGGCAAGATCGGGGCGTTTGCCGGCAATCGCGTGCTCCTGATCCTCTACAACAAGTACGCAGATACCGACCCTACGAAAGCTGGACAGTACCCATTCTTTATCTCGTCAGCAATGTGCCTGCTATCGGCTGCGTTGTGTCTGGGATTCTTGCCGGAGATCGGACAGTCGGTGATCGATGAGGAGGATGCCAAGTTCAAGTCGTATCTTGCAGCGAATGGATTTGACATCAGCAAGATGGGAGTGGCGCCAAGTGAGAGCACCGAGAATATTGTGGAGAGCGGGAAGGCAACAGAGGCTTGAACGGGGACGATTCCCACGCAGAGGTCTGAGGCGCTGTGCATACTTGAGATTCGCATCAACACGCAGCATTGCAACTCCCCGGTACTCTCTGAACAGCTTGATATCATTCGGTGTACTGCTGTACTCCTTGTCACTTGTAAGAGGCCGATCTCTCGAAGTGGATTTGGCTGTAAACCCACGGGTCTCTCAATTGCGCCAAATTTTGTTTGACATGCACTGCAGCATCAATGATAGTAGCTCAAGGCACATTCGGTACGCTGAGGAGCCGAGCAGTTCCCGAGCAGGGCGAACGTAATAGTGGAGTTGACATCCAACCAGGATGGCCAACGACGCCCCTCAGTTGGCGAATTGTTTACGCATCGCTCACGCAGAAGTAAATGTACTAGTCATTGTGCGTGTATCCAACTTCTTCGTGCTCGCTCGCCAATTGCACAAGCCGGTCACGCATCCCCTCCGCTGTCTGTCGATCCTCCACCCGCGACAAGTCTACAAGGTCGATCCAGTCTCTTCCATGTTGCAACACGTTCCTCGCCCTCAACGAGCCTCCCGCAACATGACCCATGCTACCATGCAGCGTCATACGCTCGACATCACTGCGGTAAGCTCCTCGATGGAATATGTTATTATTATAGAAAGCCATCTCACCTGCTTCCAGCTTGACGTGAATCTGACCAGGTATGTTGGCTTCGTACGGATCAGCCGCTCGCTCAACATCTGTCAACGGACGTCGATGAGAGCCAGGTATCAAGATCAGAGAGCTGTCCGGGTACAAAGCCAAATTCCACTGAGCATGGTAGGCAGGTTTGCTGAGTCGTGCGAGTTCTTCCTCCGCCGTGGCAGTCGGCGGGATGTCATCGCGATGCCAGCGGAGCTCGAAGTCTTCGTCTGGTCGTACCAGAAGGTTGTAAAGCTCCATGACTAGGTCATCAGCTTCGCAGTCAAGGAGTGATTTGACTGTTTCGAGATTGGTTTTGGAGAAGTAGCTCGCGGTGAACAGATCGCTACCGGGCAAGTCTGGATTCATGAGCTGTTGTACGCCCCACTGGTAGACCCTGGTGGTTAGCATTGTACCGCAGAGTGGTCATCGATTCGTTGGGCCCTCATTCCCAGTTTCTGTCCTTGCGGCGTGGCAGAGACCTCAATCCAGCGGATAGAACTTGCCGCCTAGTTGAATTGCACTTATAGAGAGGGCATTCGTGACAAGAGGGTCATGCGAGACTCACTATGCCATTGCTGGGGTCCTCTGGCCACGGCGGAAATTGGCGCGGCAATGTCCTGATATGAGGCCAGTAGCCATCGCGTGCCCGCTTCGTGACTTTCTTGCTCGCTGATCGGAGCCCATCGAGCTGTAACGCTGTGAGACCGGATGGTACGACCACATAGCCATCACGCTCGATGCCTTCGCGGAGGGACAAGGACCATGCAGACATGATCTCTGGCTCGTAGCGGTCTGTCAGTGGAAGTCGATCAAGGAATGATGGTGGCGACTGTCGCCACTATGAGGACTCGGTCGTGTTATTCGAATTCGCGTCTTCCATGGCCGTCGCGAGAGGACTTCACAAGGGGGGGGTTGGGGCGTGGATTTGCGCGCACCGGCATGATGATTGGTGGTTTTGATGATTGACATCGAGGGGTTGTTCCGAGTTTGTGATCCGCGTTGAGAAGTGTTGGACCTGTACCAATAGCATCGCAAGCCTGGTCTAGCGGTTATGATTTCTGTCTAACACACAGAAGGTTCTGAGTTCGATTCTCAGGGTTTGTAGCAGCGAGCATGTCTCTCCTTTTGTTTTGTAACGTAAACTATTCTGTTATGACGAATAGGTCTGACGTTTTGATCGACGCCTAGGGGCGGGCTCGGGATCTGTGCAACTGGCCAAGTGATACTCATCCCGGTACTTGCTTCTGGTGATACTCTCAACGCAAGCCCAAGGGGCCTACTCAGAGAGAATTGCTACGATAATACAGTCCTATGCAACTGCCCTGCGAGTAGCGCTTCCCGAGTCTCATCGAAGTACCGTATCGCTAACACTGGACGCATTGCGGATGTGGAATCATCACGCAAGTGACCCCGCAAGCTATATCTTCGACCACAGTCTACCTCAGGTACGACTTAGTCATCACACTCATGCCCTAGGGATCGCCGTGGAAGCGTCAGCAAGGTAGGTCAGCAAATTGTGGATGAAGGCTGAATCTGCGTGCACATACGTCTAGTGAGGCGACACTCTACCTGGATCATTTCCGTCTGTTTGTTCTACCTTTCATGGTCATCTCTCCACTTGCAAGACTGTCTTGTATCTTCACGCAAAGAACTGTCTGCCCGTTGTACAAGCGAAATTCGAAACCACTGCGGTCAAAGGGAAAATTGTCTTGCCTGTAACAGGCTCACATCTACAGAAAGCACTCTATCGCAATAAGAGCCGGAAGCATGGCCTTCTACCATGTACCGATGCATGACGGCGAAGTGGCGATGATGAAGGCTATGCATGCTCCAGTTGTCGACAACCCTTCGTTCCCAGCCGTGTCGCCCCAGCTTGCGAATCACTTGCAGATCGCACCGCTCATTGCTATTGGTACACTCGATAAGCAAGGACGGCCATGGACCACACTATGGGGTGGCCAGAAAGGTCTCGCGCAATCGCTCGGAGGCAATGTAATCGGGATCAAGACTGCTGTTGCAGGTCAGTTTGATCCGGTCGTCGAAGAGCTCATGGGTAAAGAAGCGACTGGCACGATCGTTCGCGAGGAAGGCCGGGGAAGGATGGTAAGTGGAGTCACCATGGACCTTCAGACTCGCAAGCGCGTCAAACTCTTCGGTCACATGATCGCTGGAGCATTGATGGTGCGCGAAGACGAAGCCACCGAAGCTCAGGAGCATGTCGTGGAGACTCAGCTGGTTCTCAAGATTGACCAATCGCTCGGTAATTGCCCGAAGTACTTCAACAAGAAACTCATAACGCCTGCTGCTGCGAAGCCGGTACTTGTCTCTGATTCGCCACAGCTTAATGAAGGAGGGCTCGATCTCATTTCCAAAGCAGATCTGTTCTTCATGTCCTCAGCGCAAAACGACAAGGACATGGACACCAATCATCGAGGTGGACCAGTCGGGTTTGTGCGCATCTTGTCGAACGAGCCTAATGGTGCAGTTCTCGTCTGGCCCGAGTACTCTGGCAACAGACTGTATCAGACACTCGGCAATCTCAGGATCAACCCTGTAGCGGGGATATGCATACCTGACTTTGACACCGGGAGCATGCTCTACCTTACAGGCGCCACCGATATTCTGATTGGTGCTGATGCGGCCAAAGTTCTACCGCGTTCCAATCTCGCCATCCAACTCAGAGTTACAGCTGCTCGCTTCGTCTCAGAGGCATTGACATTTCGGGGCGAGCGCGGAGAAGCATCTCCATACAACCCACCAGTGCGATACCTTGTCTCGGAGAAGCAGAGCACTGTGCCACAAGACTTTGAGCTTTCGCAGGCTACGCTCTTGAAGCAGACGAAGCTGACACCTACAATCTCACGTTTCAAGTTCGCGCTCTCGAACTCAGCACAGCACAAGGCCGGTCAGTATGTGACATTCGGTTTCTCCAGTCGACTAGACATCGGCTACAGTCACATGAGAGACGATGACCCACTGTCGATCAACGATGACTATGTGCGGACGTTTACCGTCTCCTCGCCACCTGGCGATCCACCTCGACCGACGCAGAGATTGAAAGACGATGAGTTCGAAATCACGGTCCGCAAGGTGGGTAGAGTCACAGATGAGCTTTTCAAACATGAAGGCACCGAGAACGGCGATCGTATGCCATTCGAGGTCGCAGTCAAGGGCTTCGGTGGAGACTTCGAGATAGATG